GTCTAGGTCTAATGAAAAGAACTCTACGGTTTATTAACGACCGTAAACAAAAACGGGCATTCTATCTAGCGCTGGTTAGGAGCCTTTTCGAAAATTGCAGTGTTGTCTGGAGACCAACAAGTGTTGTCTTGAATAACAAAGTTGAAAACATTCAGCGCAGAGCAGTTAAGTGGATCCTTGGCGAACAGGATCATCACTATAATGACTTAGAATACTTGGCTCGATTAAGAGAGCTAGACATGTTGCCAATGGAGCTGAAGTTTGAATACACAGACTTACTATTATTCCATCAGATATACAATGGTCAATCTGTTCTGAAGCTCCCACCTTATTTAACCCCGATAACAACCAGTGAACAGGGTAGGTTGCGTTCAAACATAAGGCAACCCTCGAGATATAATGAAGTTGATACATCTCAAATGCCTGATATCAACCAGAGGCGACAGAACAGACACGACCACCTTTCCCTGAAGTGTACTGTGGAAGCAAAAGCTCACTCCTTTAAGAGAAGCTTCTTCTTCAGAACACACAGTGTCTGGAATGACCTACCAACTGACCTTAAAGAGATAAGTGATGCCGGAACTTTTAAGGCAAACCTGGCAAAACACTTTTGGGACAAATTGACAGACCCTGACTAAGTTAATGAGTGCAAATGATATTTATATGTGGGCCCCTGCCACTGATAGATCGGTCACGATACTGAATATAACAACTATAATATAAAAATAAATCTATTAAATAACATTTACGTTCTGTCGCCATGATTTGACCCTGGTGCAGTCCTCAGTTAATATACTTAATTGGATTACGCGAACTTTATATCCGACTGTAATCTTGCTTTTAAGCGCTGTGTGATGATACGCGCGCAAATTTTTGGCGCATTATGGGTCAAGTCATGGATACATTATGTATTTATTTTTATAATTCTAAATTTGCGTGTTTTAGATACATTTTGTGTGTTTAGATGGAGGTGGTGTTAGTGAGTCTGGGAGTAGAACTATTACTTGTAGTACGTATACCCCCAGAACTTGTACCACTTAACCATGCTTTTAGTATTTATACAATATGGACTACAACTTTTACCCAACAATTGCCTCATGATAATAATGTCGTATATTTTTAATTCTCTTTGCTGTATTGTATAATGTACTATTTGTAAAAGTTTCAAATCAAATCAATAATGACAACTATTTATGTCGTGTACGCGAAAATGCCCCAATAATTAGCATCTGCTTAGTGGTTACTTGATGCACAGATTTTGTAGCTAATAGCAACAAACTTTGGTCTGTGAAACGAAATTTGATAGACTGGATCAGTGGATCCCTGACTGAGGACATTTAAATAACAGTCCAGCAACTTTTAGTCTGCTCTTTCACTTAAATTCCTACTGAAATATTATCGAAAATTCTCAGAGTTGGCTCTCGAATTTCCTACTTTTTGTCAAAAATTTCCTACTTTTAAAAATTTCCTACATTCTTAGAATGCGAGAATGCGGGTTTTTGGATATGGGAGGAGTAGTCCCAAAGCTTGGAAACTTCCGCGTCTGGCTCCGCCCAGAATTTCTGTTCTGTGTTCTTTCTTCTCGTCAGATCTAGCAACTTTTCCATACGAGAGTGTATAGGATCGGGTCCGAAGTCTCCTCGCAGGGTTCGAGCAATAAGTCCCTCATGTCCATCACTCCACTTCAATCCAAGATAATGATCTGACATTCTACCAATCTCCACCACTTTGATTCCCGGGAACAAGCTTCCACTTAAAGGTAGACCCAGGCGCTGGTGGGTGTATTTCCCAAAACAGGCTTCACATCGGCACATATTCCTGGTCTCGGCGTGCAGAATATCCCTCCCGTCCAGCTGGATTCCCTTTTCCGTATATTTCACTGCATCACTGAGCAGTCTCGTCAACTGTGGTTTGAGTGAAGATGATGGTTTCAGCCGCGCTAGTCCGAATAACATTTTTCCTGGATCTGGTTACAAGTGATTTAGTTTTTAACTAGGAAAAAAATAGGAAAGAAATAAAATCCTTAATAGAAAAGGGCCAACTTTTTTATTAGGGTTTCTAAAAATTTTGGGGAAAAATTGGTCCAGTATATGTACATATTTTATCCTGTGACTCGGACCGAAAATTTTGGAAGGCAGGCCTCCTTTTTGTAGTACGAGCTCGGAAGCGGGAGCTACGTATCGGGAATGACTTGGGCCGAAAATTTTCTAATTCAATATTTTTCTGGAAACTACTTCAGTTCATGTTCATGCTACCCTGATCATTATGAGCTGAACAAATATTTTTTCGGTTTTCGAAGTCCACACCTACCCTTTGAATTTTGATATACGATTTTGGACTCGAGAGTTCCCCCTTGTAATGCGATCTCTGAAGACAGGCCTCCCCTTCGCAGTACGAGCTCGGAAGTGGGAGCTCGGAAGCGGGAGCTCTTCCTTCAGAGGTACGTATCGAGAATGACTGGGACAGAAAATTTTCGTCCAAATCTTTCAAAGTTTTTCTGGAGACTACTTTTGTTCATGTTTCATGCTACCCTGATAATTATGAGCCGAAAATATTTTTTCGGTTTTCTGAACTCCACACCTACCATTTGAATTTCGATATACGATTTTGGATTCGAGGGTTCCCCTTGTAATTGGAAAAGCGAGCGATCGATTTCATTCTCGGTCACATTTTGCATTTGCAGACAGTCATTCAAATTAATAACATTTCTTTTGTTTGGGAAAGAGACACGCTGGCAGCGGTCCATTCTACCCAATTATGGGTTTTGGTCAAATTAAAGGTCGAAATAACTAACATCCGGTGTAAAAACAACCGTCTGGGCTAATTTTAAAAGTACATCATAATATCTGAATAATGTACTTTTGAAAGCACGGGTTTAATAAATAATGTACTTTTAAAAGTACGGGTTTAATGAATAGTGTACTTCTGGAGGTACGTTAGTTAATTAAACAGAAACTCAAGGTCAGATAATAAAACTAAAAGCCCTTGTCAGAATGGATGAATAAAATTTAAACAATACCATACAAAATTTAACACTAAACAAATCATGACGGTAGGAACAGCTATACTTATAAACTACTATCATAATTCCATTTACCAATTTACTAGAATTTTACGAAAATCTTCAGGTTTTGTGCTTTTTACTCTAACTGATCATAAGGCTTAAAACAAAGCACACAAAGTGCAACGTCACACAATTCGCACTTAGCCAGAAGCGTTTCAAACCTTAAAGAATACCGAAAATGGTGAGAATGAGAAGAGAGTAGCAGAGGCTGAGACAATTCTAGAGGAACAGACGAGAGTAGCAGAAGCTGAGAGAGTTCTAGAGGAGCAGAAGAGAGTAGCAGAAGCTGAGAGAGTTCTAGAGGAACAGAAGAGAGTAGCAGAAGCTGAGAGAGTTCTAGAGGAACAGAAGAGAGTAGCAGAAGCTGAGCGTATTCTAGAGGAACAGAAGAGAGTAGCAGAAGCTGAGCGTATTCTAGAGGAACAGAAGAGAGTAGCAGAAGCTGAGCGTATTCTAGAGGAGCAGAAGAGAGTAGCAGAAGCTGAGCGTATACTAGAGGAACAGAAGAGAGTAGCAGAAGCTGAGCGTATTCTAGAGGAGCAGAAGAGAGTAGCAGGATCCGGTTTTGCTTGCCATGCAAGTTCACAGAGAGGTTCTCTTATCATTGGAATAATGAATTAGGAAGTTTATCAAGAATTGTGATGGACTTTGTATGACAAATAATCACTAAATACGATAATACTTATCTGATAATCACAGTTCTTGGCACAAATCGAGTTAATTAACTTAGATTTTGGGGGAATGAACTTGGAGAGTATATCGAAGTACTGTACGTGTTTTGAGAGGTTTTTGTTGATTGGAGCAGTTCCATTTGCTATACAGCTTATCACAGTGCTGACAAGCATGACCGCCGCCATTATACTCACTACAGTATTCCCCCCTATACTATTATACCCTCTTTACTGTTTTTCAGGCATTAAGACTCACCGAAAGTAGTTCAGCAGGCATATTTTAAGTTCAAAACATTCTAATTCAATGTCAAAGATATCATTTACAAAAGTAAATGATATTTCTTTGATTAAAAATGGAAAACGGTTCAAGACGGGAGTGATGAGGTGTAATAGTCGTGGTACAGGGTGTACGCACCTATGATCATGGAATGTGGTGCCTAATAATGACTTAATTATGCACGAGAAAGAACTGATTATGCGATTATGTTAAACTAGTGTAACCCGTGCCTACGGCCGGGACTACACTATCGCAGTTGAAATGCAAGAGTATACACCCGCATATTCTATTTGAAAACACGCATAACATTGTCGTATGAAAGTATGAACTATTTCTCTACAGACCAAACAGACCACCGCGCAATCAGTGCCCTCCACCCCTAATCAGCTTATAGTATTAATTGCGGCTAACCTTATCATGATTAATGTACCAACGCTACATAATATGCAGTAATGAAAGAGAGAGAGCGAAGAGGGGGAAAAAGTGAGCCATTTTATGTCACATTTGTGGTACAAAACCATCAATTAAACCACTTACCACCAGCCGATTTTTGTTTATTGGCTTCGCCAGAGTTTTGTCGGCACTATACCGAAAAAACCAGTCCCGTAACTTTAGCCGTTTTTTTAATAAAGCCGCTCGAAAATTTCCCGCACACACACACAGATTTATTGAGATTATTGTTTAAGACAATTGAAACAAATTAGTTTGAAAATAATTGAAGATAAACACCGCAAACGAATCAAAATAATTTTTTTTTTTTGTTTTTTGCTGTTTTTTCAATTTTTGATCCTTTTTTAAAGTAAAAAATATTCCAATTGTTCTCTAATGTTTTTGAGTGAAAAATCAATTAACCAATAACTAGTCGTGTTGAATTAACTTACGTCAGAGACTTCTATTTCCGTAGATAACGGAAAATGATTGATCCGAAGCAAACAAATTAATATTCAAATAACAAATAAAGATGAAACAATCAATTTTTTTGTATTTTAGTTTTTGTCCCTGTGAATGGTCTTCCAAATTACAATTTTCTCAAAGATCAGCAATCCGTTGACTTAGTCTTCACAACATCCTGGACCGGTCCCCTCCGCAAACTGCATACCCTTTCCTTAACAAACTCTCTGAAGCTCGTGATGGTAGCGTAGTAAATAATGGGGTTAGCGCTGTTGTTCAGGAACTTCAGCATCATTCCATATCTGTACAATTTGGAGTAGAGAAAGTCCTCGTGTTTATCCTCGCCTGCTGCCTCGATAATCCACTTCTCTGCAACGAAGTACACTCCAACTGGTGCATAGGAGACACAGAAGACCAGAGACACAGTCAACATTGTTATGACTGCTTGCTTGTGGATTCCCACCATCTTATGTGTGTAAACCAGGAGCCAGATGGCCGTTACAATTACAATAATGTTTGGTATTAGCAGAAATATGAAAATGCTCAGAGGGTCCAACCACTCCCATTCGTCAAGCGTGTGGAGATACGCGCACCGGTATGACCTGTAATCGAAATAGACCGTTCGGCACATCACAGCATAATGCAGTGGGTAGATATTGGCTCCGTGTTTTAAGTACTGTTCGGAAATACCAATAGCTCCAGTCGATGCCGAGGACTCCTCCACAGTTAACATCATTCTACTGACTCGTCTTAATTTCATGATGCTCGCTGAATCAGCTGGTCCCGCTGCTGCCGTAATTTTTCACATTGACTCAACTATCCGTTAGTAACTCCATTCTTTGTTCACTGTCATCTTCTAAATTTTAAAATTGAGTGTGTCTTTGAATGACAATCTTGAATTAGTAATCTGTAATAGTATATATATTGAGAAAGGAAAAGTCTAGAAAAATATACGGAAAAAACATGATGTATTAATAAAGAGAACATTTTAATATTTACACCCCTTACCTGAGCCGGGGCCGCTGGGATGGACTTATTTATATCGTATACAAACGAAAAAGAACGAAATTGGGAGGAGAAATAACCGACACTTAGGATGCTGAAAGAATGAGTACCTCTGAAGGTGGCACGGTGTCATGTAAATCGTTAGAGAACGTCTGCAGAAGAACAGCAGAATTTTCTAGAACCGAGCAAAAGAGGAGGCACCTAGACACTAAAAGCCAAAGACCTACATAACAGCCTACAAAAGCTACAATGATACAGTTACCTCAGCCACAGCTACAACAACAACAAACGACGTTATACCTTTATACATGCGAATAAAAAATACTACAAAAGTCATAGTCTTCAGAAAATTGGCGCGGTAGCAGCGGTGCAGGACTAGTATTCTTTTGATAAGAGTACCAATAACACTACCTGCAGGAAACGGAGTCACGTGACATGAATATAGACACAATTTAGATTCTATCTAAATAAATAGACGATATTTAATATTTATTATGTAGATAATAATATCATCTCTAGTCTCATTCTGTGAGCAAGCTGAATATCGCTAAACGCAGCTCACGTCTGAGTATCGATTTAAATACTGGCCGCTTAACTTATTCCATCTCACACCCTCGAGAAGAGGGCGTGCTTATGGAAATTTAAATTTAACGTCCCGTTAGAAATAGACCCGTTTCAGGTTATTTCGGCCACACTGACCTCCGCCGATTACAATTTACAAATAGGCGTTTTTGAGGTCTTCCATAAAAGTCAAACCCAGTATTCATCTCTCTTCAAATTGTGTAATTTAATTAAAATTATAATTATACATTGTTATACATTGTTATACATTGTTATACATTGTTATACATTGTTATACATTGTTATACATTGTTATACATTGTTATACATTGTTATACATTGTTATACATTGTTATACATTGATCTCGATTACATCTAAACGCTGGATAACTATTTACAATATCATGCAATTTAGTCTTACTCAATGCTAATCAAGCTCAATGATAAAGTTGTGACAAGCCAAGTGTGCTGCTGATGCCTGTAAACAGTTTAAGCTGCAATTATTAAATCGCTGGCTCTTCAGTGTTGGTCAACCTCTAAGAATAATGGGATTCCTTTTTCTGGTGAGAGGACTCTGTTGACCATATGCTGCCAGTCGAGGTATGCAGTACCAACTACCCTCTCTTGTTCGGGAGCTGTCTTTCTGAACGCCCTTCGAGCGTGGTAGACTCTCCAATTATCCGTGATGACAACCTCTCCCGCGTTCAGTCTCTTTGTTGCCCACCTACTAGGATCCTCCACTATTCCTCTGTAGTACGTGTACGCTTCCCACCACTTCTCTCTGGTTCCCGTGTCCGTGAAACGGGTAAACATGGCCGAATCCAGGCAGAACGGATGATCAACGGTCTGCATAATATCTTGCCCCAGCATGTTGAACACATTCTGGTGACTCATCTGGAATATTCCTGTCCCTGGTGGCGTGTACCTGTAGGTCACTGGAACAGTTTTCAACACTTCCAGAAGGTCGGGCCTCTCTTCTGACATTTTTCTGAACGCTGAGAAGGAGTCTGTCCAAATACCCTCGCCACCTTCAACTGTGTTCTCCATAACGTGGAAGAACTGCATGTGTGGAGTCTGAAGAGGATAACTTTTAGACATATTTTTAATTTTTGTTATATTTGCCCTACCAAATTTTCTCTCTCTCTCTCTCTCTCTCTCTCTCTCTCTCTCTCTCTCTCTCTCTCTCTCTCTCTCTCTCTCTCTCTCTCTCTCTCTCTCTCTCTCTCTCTCTCTCTCTCTCCCTCTTGTTATATTTGCCCTACCAAATTGTATCTCTCTCTCTCTCTCTCTCTCTCTCTCTCTCTCTCTCTCTCTCTCTCTCTCTCTCTCTCTCTCTCTCTCTCTCTCTCTCTCTATATATATATATATCTCTGTCTCTCTCTGTCTCTCTCATCAATAGCCAGTGAACATAAAAATCTTCCAGAATCTCAACCCTACCAGAATAATATGATTTTTTTATTCACATCCGTTACAAAATTATTGAGTAAATACCTGATAATAGTAAGGTAGGTCGAGGTGGAGCCCCAGATGCCCGCTGCTGTATGCTAAATTGTTAGCGTCCGGTTTGAAGCTCACGATATCTACTGTGTCGTAAAACGTGGTCCGCATAGGTCTCATTTTAAGACCATCCTCTACGACGTCCAACATGCCCTTTTCAGCCGGTATACCTTTCAGGAACGCGATACCGTATCTCATGTAGTGGGTCAGGAACTCTCTGGTGTTATCAACGTCCTTTATTACCCAGGAGTAATCCCAAGGTTTTGTAACTTCCGCGTCTGTTTCAGCCCAGAATTTCTGTTCTGAGTTCTTCCTCCTCGTGAGATTTAGCAACTTATCCATACGAGAGTGTATGGGGTTAGGTCCGTAGTCTCCCCTCAAGGTCCGCGCAATTAGTCCCTCATGTCCATCACTCCACTTCAATCCAAGATAATGCTTTGACATTCTACCAATCTCCTCCACTTTGATTCCCGGGGACAAGCTCCCACTTAAAGGTAGATCCAGGCGCTGGTGGGCGATTTTCCCAAAACAGGCTTCGCATTTGCACATGTGACGGGTCTCAATATGCAGCAAGTCTCTTCCGTCAAAACTTATTCCCTTTTCCGTAACCACTGCATCACTGATGAGTCTTGTCAACTGTGGTTGGAGGGTAGAGTGTGATCTCAGCCGCGCTAATCGTGATAACATTCTGCCTGGATTAAGTTACTAGGATGAGCGCTAAATTTATTTTAATTTTGTAATCACTTGTTTTTTATGATTATCATAATTGTTATTGCTAACAATAAATACAAATATTGGAAACTTTCGCGGGGTTGATGATAAAGTGGCTGATTGGACTGCTTGCCAACCCGAGTCAGAAGGTATTAAATTCGATCCCCACCATGTACCTTCAATATTAAAGTAAGGGGTGTAAGGGGTACAAAAGAAACTCGTGGTTAAAATCGGATATATAAACTGTATCAAGAGTAATACAGTAAGAAATCCGTACCAAAGAAAGAGTCCCGACAGTCTCCCTGACTCCCTCTAAATACTCCTATTCACGTGACACGTATGCTGGTCACGTGATAAGATCTTAAACTAATATCAACTAAATATTATTATCGGCCAGGTAGCGCAGTTGGTTAGAACGCCAGCGTTGCAATCGTGAGGTTGCGGGTTCAAATCCCACTGTCTGCCTGGTCGTGGGGTGACCGTCGTTGACGTTCAGCTAAGGATCCTAAGTGGTCTATGCAGCCCCCCGGTCTACTCAGCCGAATACTCGAGAAATCGGGTGTGAGGGTTAAATGAGGAGCTGCACATTGCAGCAAAGTCTCGGGCGAAGAAAGTATGATACACACTACCTTAACCGTCACTGGCTAAAAACAAATCCTTCGGCTTCCTGTAATTGGCTGGTTGCACTTGTGTAACAATGTGGCTGTTGGAATACTCCGAAGTAAAATAAGTGTCTAGATAAAATAGGGTACAACTCAACATGTCAATCTGTAGAGTAAACAAAAGAGGTGACAAATAAGCCTAATTAAGGAAAGTGAGGTGGAAACAGCCTGCTAACCGTGAGTAATCAGGTTAATAACAAAAGGTCAATAACCACAAAGGATTAGGAAGAAGAACTAGTAGTCTAAAATGACGTGTACACTCGTGAAAGGAGAGTACAACAATATCTGGGATGATACTTTAGTTCGGTCGGTCAACCAATAGTTCAACCCAAAGATTAAGGCTTATTCCCCTCGTTTATAAATGCTAGACGTAAGAAATACATAAATGCTACTTTTAATAAGTGCTTATTCCTGAAGTCTGAACTTGTATAAGAAAATACCATGAAAACAACGATTTCAAGGAAACGACAATTTTATTTAGTATTAATTATCAATATATTATATAATATATCAGAGGCAGGCTACGCATCCTCATACTGTTATATTATATACAGGATGGGCCAAAAGTCAGTACCCATACGTTGGCCTTTATAGCTCAGTCACTGAGTGCCCAATTGAAATAATTATTTCTGGTTTAACTTAGTACCACCACTGGTTCGAGGAATTTGTCAACTCGAAAAATATTCGTGTTCATTTTTTTCAAATGAAGATTCGTTTTCTCATTTATTTGATAATTTGGATAGTAGAATTGTGTTTGGCCATTCGAATTACGTTTGTCCTGAAAAATTAGAGTTATAGCTTCTCAGATGACCGAGACAGTGATGCACGCCGCCGCCGGACGCCGCCGCGCCGGCATATTTTCACACGCCGCCACGCCGATACCTCTCAAGTCGGCGTGGCGTGAAAGGAAATAGAAAGAGTATGGAGCCAGTCGGGGTTGATTTTAAACTTTAGGAGATCCAAATTGTCCAACGACAATGTTAAGAATTTGATTTTTCTTAAATATAATTGTAAAAACCACCAAATATAATTGTAAAAATCACACTTATTACATCATTATTTCATGCACGCACGTACGCCACAATTTTTGTGGGCCTGGAAATTCAAACCTAAATTTTGACAAAATTATGTTCCACGCCGCCGAACGCCGCCACGCCGGGCCATTTTGGGCACGCCGCCGCCGGTTGGCGAAAAATGAACCGGCGTGCATCACTGGACCGAGATACGAAGCATAACGAGTTTATTCATTACATGTGATCAGGTGATTGGCTTACCTAATCATGTGATAAGGTGACCCCGTTAACTACCCCGTTAAACATTATGGGAATCGTTAAGGCTGCCCAATTAAGGTGTCGTATCACGGTGTCACATAATCACCCAATCAATTTTGCTAAAGAGATACACAAATCGCTTGATAACTTCGTCATTTCTAATCAGGTGCAAAATGTAATAATCTACCGTCTCAAAAACGATTAGGCGTCCAACATGTTCAGAGAGAACAATATAGGTGTTTTAATATTGAATGGGCGTGGTCTAAAATATTACAATTTTCAAATTTTGGCGACGGAATCCTCGAACAAGTAGGTACACTGTACAGTATGCCATCTGCAAAGCAACAACCCTCAAAAATAAAAGACAGGCGGAGGTATAAGACCCAACGTATGGATACTGACTTTTGGCCCACCCTGTATATATCCTCTCGTGGGCCATATATCCTCTCGTGGGCCATCTAGGTCAAGCCTCTCTTTTTAAAAATTATATTTTTTATAGAACTTTTAGGTTTGATGTCTTAAGGGACTTGGATTGTGGTTAGAAGTCATATACCTTTTACAAGAATACTTGGAGAATAATCCAGGGTGATACGGGATCGTGCAGACTGTGAAGATTATTTCTCCTCAATTCTTGATTGGATAATTAATGTTTAGTATTAATGCAAACTTGGACGTTTATGCTTCAAGTCCCTTTGTCGAAAAACTAATTTTTAATTAATCTCAGGAGTAAACTTTATTCAGCAATCATCATCTGATCAAAAATTTAGAAATCGAGATAATAATTTAAACGTTTCATCAAGCGATTAAAAATGATCTGAGAAAATTGATCCAGCCCGTAGTAAAATCATAAGTATTTGACTTTGAATAGCCCGTAGTTGAGCCGCTGCAACTAGATAACTTCAATTTACCAATTTAAGAATGTTACTTTACCGGTCTTATAAACTTCAGTAAACTCGATCGGCAACCAAAATCTAATCATAAACCCACGATACATGTTTATTCATAGCTTTATAGCATTAATAAGTAACATTCTTGTGCACACCTTATTCCGGAAACCCTCTTAGGGTTCCTTGACCTTAAACAATAAGTCAATCAAGATGACATACCAATGATGGGAGATTACAGTTAAAAATTTTGGCTATCCTTGCACTCCAGAGATTGCAACAAGCGAAATACTTGGAAAAATGGAGAAATGTAGTTTTTAGGAAAAAATATTACATTACTAAGAGGAAAGGTATGAAACTGAACTAGGTAAACCACACTACCTTATCGGACCTTATTTGGACGGACATTAATTGAACGCTAGAGGCCTTAACGTTCATCTCAATGTCCGTTCAAATAAAGTCCGTTCATTTAAGGTCCGTCCAAGTTAAAGTCCGTTGCATTTTTTTTTTAATTCGAACTTCTTGTCCAGAATATGACAACTATGAAAACTTTATTGTGCCGTAAGTTAACGACGGAAAGGTTCTCCTTGGTCTGCCGGAGGCACAGAAAACTCTACTAGTATATATGATGTTTTCAAGGGGCACTTTGCGGAAAAAGTCAACGAAATTATGGCACTCAACAACATAGTTCATGAGCTAGTCCCCGCCAACATTACAAACTTGTTCCAGCCTCTACATATATTACGGTAAATCGTGTTGCCAAGGACATAGTCTATTAGACGAGACTAAAGAGTTTCTCGAATATAAAATTGATTTATAGATTGCAACGGCCCTTAAGCGCTTGGTACATCGACTTTAATTCTATTTTAAGTCTATATGATTATCTGCACCCGGGAATTTAAAACTGCAAAATCTTGCAGCTTCGGGAAATTAAATTACCACAATGATAATCAAACACAGTATCAAGAACGATTCAAATAATACGGTTTTAAATGCATATTAGGGCCTGCAAGCAGCTCTTGTGAAATAAGTGTAGTTCGAAAAAGGGATGCATATTGTATTCTCTCGGAAAAATTTTAGGAAATTTGCTTCCAGAATTGAAATCTAGCAATTTGAAATGATAAATACAGCAAGATTTTATTGTGCCGATTTAACTATTCAAGGGTTAAAGATAAGTCCTGCAAACTTTGAAAAATATGCTTACAGTAATAGATCTCACTCTCAAAGATGGTGCCACATGCAAGTAAGGAGAATCTGGAACAATTTTTGGAAAATTTGTTTTTTTAAGGAATGAATTCTAGCAATGAGGAATGTAAATTTGGGCTACAAGTGGCAAACTGTGTCCTGCTAATTTACTTGAAAATACTGAACACGGCATAAAAGAGTAATCAGCAATGTTATCTGAATTTTATAAATGGCAACTATCGTGCAGGTAGACAGGATAGGCCAAATGAGGCCAAAAAAGTTGGCCCCTTTTCGCCCCTTGTCAGATTTTATGGAGGGGGCGGTCGCCCACCCCCCCCCCCCCCCCCCCCCCTTCCTACACCCCTGTCTCCAACTACAAATATTGGTGATTTTAGTATTTCCCGAACGAAAATTTTTTTCTGAATAGCATTCTTCTCCATGTTTCAAGCGATTTGATCACTTTCGGCGGAGAAGCATATTTTCGAAATTTTCCCGTAAGTCTCGAAAAAAAATTCAACGTTTTTCTAAAAACTACATTTCTCCATGTTTCCTGCTATTTCGATCATTTTAGCCAATCAAAATCTTTTTCATTTTTAATTTTGGTAATTAGCTTATTGGTAATTATCCAATTAACTGATTGTCTGACGAAAAAATTTGACTAATGTGACTGACTAATGGAAACGAGCTCTTTTGGCAGAACTAAATTTTTATTTATCTGACCTTCAAAGCCAATCAAAATCTTTTTCATTTTTGGTAATTAGCTTATTGGTAATTATCCAATTAACTGATTGTCTGACGAAAAAATTTGACTAATGTGACTGACTAATGGGAACGAGCTCTTTTGACAGAAATACATTTTTATTTATCTGGTCTTCAAATCCTTTATGTCAATTAAGATGGTTCTCATTAGCTAAGAGATGACATATCTAATTCTAAGCGACCACCTATTAACCCATCTTATGATACACTCAGTATCTCAAAATTAAAATAAGATAGGATAAAATAAAACAAAAATCAATAAACGCGATGGGAAATAAATCCAAGAAATTTAGTGTTGACTTGCAACTCGTTTAAGAATTTTATTATGTTTGGGGACCGGTTTTTGGTACACCGGCCAATGTTTACAAAATCATTATATGATACATAACAATATAATTTTATTTAATATGCGTGAATATGATAATTGAAAACATTTATATATGTTAAATGTTATTAGAAGTATTACAGGTTATATATTATGAATATCATCATTACCAAAATTGAAAACCAGATTCGAAAGAGTCAAATTCTAAATCATCCATATTATCTATAATTCGTCAGTTTTATCTGAGGTCTTTCTCGATCCGATAATGCACAATATAACTATTTCCGGGAATTATATGCACTTAAACTCGTCGACACCGTGAGCTGATAATTTGAAGATTTTTCCCGCAAGGAACCGAAGGTATTATGAGCACATACTGCGAGTCACCTCAGACTGGCTGGCGGGAAGTTTCAAAACAAATAACAGTGGCGCACTATATCATATGTATATCTTACTATACACACTATATTGTATCATGCGAACGTATCACATTACACATCTTACACGAGCCCCCGTCAATAGTTATAACAAAGGGGGGGGGGGGGGGGGGGGGGTAACATTTTTTTTGTTTAGGTAAAAGTAGTTTTTTTGAAAAAACGAAAATAAAATAAACTAAAAACCAACAAATAATACCTTCGCTTCTTCGGGCCGCAAATTTCCTCCAGCAAGCCCTCAAAAGCGAAGGTATTATTGTATTATAATTAATTTCCTAATTCAAAAATATAATTTACACCGAATGTTTTTACGAAAGTTTTTACGTTGACGTTGAGCCCAATAAGATGCACATTTGAATTAAGTTAAGCTTTATATTATTATCTATTTTACTTTATATTATTATTTATTGCAGATGTTCAGGTTATTAAACCTACTAAACTAGTTAGTTTGGATCCTGTATATCTTGATAGAATTAGTTAATTACTGGTCTGGTATCTCTTTGAATTATAATCTTAAGTCTCGTCAAATAAAGTAGTGTTATAAAGATTAAATATTCTGGTAACTCCATATAATGACGTTTAATAGCTCGGAAGTAAAAATAGAAACCCTCGAAGATGAAGACAATATTATAACTCGATTGTTTAGTTTGTAGTCCGTGCTAATGGATAGCCGCGAGTGTTAATTGAATTGCTGACTCCTCAATGTTGATCTATCTCTAAGAATATTGAGTTTTTCTTGTCCGGGGAGAGGATCCTGTTGACCATAATCTGCCAATCCATGTAAGAAGTAGCAACTATCCTATCTTGTTCGGGAGCTGTCTTTTTGAACATCCTTCGAGCGTGGTAGACTCTCCAATTATCAGTGATTACAAACTCTCCCGAATTCAATCTTTTTGTGTAGTGCCTACTAGGATCCTCCACTAGTCCTCTGTAGTACGTGTACGCTTCCCAAAACTTCTCTCTGGTTCCCGTGTCCGTGAAACGGGTGAACATGGCCGAATCCAGGTTGAACGGTTGATCAACCGTTTGCCAAATGTCCTTCCCGAGCATATTCACCACACAGTGGTGAGTTATCTGGAATATTCCTGTTCCTGGTGGCGTGTATCTGTAGGTCACTGGAACAGTTTTCAGCACTTCCAGAAGGTCGGGTCTTTTCTCTGACATCTCTTTGATCGCTGAGAATGAATCTACCCAGAAACTCTCGCCACCCTCAACAGTGTTCTTCACACAGTGGAAAAACTGCACGTGCGGTGTCTGAAAATATGATTGGAAAAGTAATCTTACAGACCTCACAAAATAGCCCGTTTCCTCTTACCACCGTTTTTATTTATCTCAGCCATGAAGTAGAAAAGTTCCACATTAATGGTATCTGACATAATAGTATACCAATAATAAGTTCGCCATTTACCAATTATTAAATTCGAAAAGTTTGGGGTTATGCTATGACGATACACAATTCATGGGCTAGATTTATTACCTGATAAAAATAGGAGAGGTCAAGGTGAAGTGCAAGTTCATCGGCGCCATATCCTGAGTTGATAGGGTTTGGCTTGTACTTTACCAGATCCACCGTCTTAAACACAGTCCTCCGCAAAGGACTCATCTTTAGACCCTCCTCTACGACGTCCAACATGCCCTCTTCAGCCGGTATTCCTGTCAGAAACACTATACCATATCTCATGTAGTGGGTCAGGAACTCTCTGGTGTTATCAACGTCCTTTATTACCCAGGAGTAATCCCACAGCTTGGAAACTTCTGCGTCTGGCTCCGCCCAGAATTTCTGTTCTACGTTTTTCCTTCTTGTCAGTTCTTGCAACTTTTCCATACGAGAGTGTATGGGGTTAGGTCCGTAGTCTCCCCTCAAGGTCCGCGCAATTAGTCCTTCATGTCCATCACTCCACTTCAATCCAAGATAATGCTCTGACATTCTACCAATCTCATCCACTTTGATTCCCGGGGACAAGCTCCCACTTAAAGGTAGATCCAGGCGTGAGTGGGCGTGTTTCCCAAAACAGGCTTCACATCGGCACATATGACGGGTCTCGATGTGCAGCAAGTCCCTCCCGTCCAGCTGGATTCCTTTTTCCGTATACTTCACAGCATCACTGAGCAGTCTCGTCAACTGTGGTTTGAGTAAAGATGATGGTTTCAGCCGCGCTAGTCCGAATAACATTTTTCCTGGATCTGGTTACAAGTGATTTAGTTTTTTAATTAGGAAAAAAATAGAAAAGTAGTTATGGAGCAGTCTTGTCAACGTGGGATTGACTGAGATGACTTGTTGCCAATTTTGTATCTCACAGAAACACCACATTTTCCACTTTTTCCACCTTTCTTGTTTGTCCAATATCTTTAGTTGTGAACAGTATATTGTAGAAGGTTGCAAATTAATTGAGGTTGTGTAACTTATACAACTTTTGTACAAAAAATGTTTACGTCAGACAATCATTTAATTGGATAATTACCAAAAATATTAAAAATGTTTATTGGCTCAAAATGAAATAGCTGGAAACATGGAGAAATGTAGTTTTTAGGAAAAAATATTACATTACTAAGAGGAAAGGTATGAAACTGAACAAGGTAAACCACACTATATAATCTAGTTTCATGATTAATTACAGCACAGCCTTTAAATCAATTCAACTTAAAGAAACTGCACCCAAGGCTCATTCAAGATCAAACCGATAACCTGCTGTACTGTCATTTTATTGATTTCAATGATTAATCAGTTGGGTTAAGATCATCACATTTGTAAGTGAATAAAACCTCTCTACACCGTCAATCGGTGTAGAGAACCATGGGTGTAGGAATGATTTTCTTCGTGAGGGGGCCAAAATCTTATGGTTTTTCAAATTTAGCACACGCTTTGGCCACAGCCTGAATTTCAGAACAGCAAAACGTGTAAAAGGCCTAGCAATTTGGCAATATAGATCATTTTCAAACACAGTATCAAGAACGATTAAAATAATACGATTTTAAATGCATATTAGGGCCTGCAAGCAGCTCTTGTGAAATAAGTGTAGTTCGAAAAAGGGATGCATATTGTATTCTCTCGGAAAACTTTTAGGAAATTTGCTTCCAGAATTGAAATCTAGCAATTTGAAATGATAAATACAGCAAGATTTTATTGTGCCGATTTAACTATTCAAGGGTCAAAGAAAAGTCCTGCAAACTTTGAAAAATATGCTTACAGTAATAGATCTCACTCTCAAAGATGGTGCCACATGCAAGTAAGGAGAATCTGGAACAATTTTTGGAAAATTTGTTTTTTTAAGGAATGAATTCTAGCAATGAGGAATGTAAATTTGGGCTACAAGTGGCAAACTGTGTCCTGCTAATTTACTTGAAAATACTGAACACGGCATAAAAGAGTAATCAGCAATGTTATCTGAATTTTATAAATGGCAACTATCGTGCAGGTAGACAGGATAGGCCAAATGAGGCCCCTTTTCGCCCCTTGTCAGATTTTATTGAGGGGGGCGGTCGCCCCCCCCCCCCCCCCCTCTTCCTACACCCCTGTCTCCAACTACAAATATTGGTGATTTTAGTATTTCCAATAAGTCTCGAAAAAAAATTCAACGTTTTTCTAAAAACTACATTTCTCCATGTTTCCTGCTATTTCGATCATTTTAGCCAATCAAAATAGTTTTCATTTTTGGTAATTAGCTATTTGACTAATGTGACTGACTAATGGGAACGAGCTCTTTTGGTAGAAATAAATTTGTATTTATCTGGTCTTCAAATCCTTTATGTCAATTAAGATGGTTCTCATTAGCTAAGAGATGAAATATCTAATTCTAAGCGACCACCTATTAACCCATCTTATGATACACTCAGTATCTCAAAAATAAAATAAGATACCTTATCGGACCTTATTTGGACGGACATTAATTGAACGCTGGAGGCCTTAACGTTCATCTAATGTCCGTCCAAGTTAAAGTCCGTTGAATTTTATTCAAAAATTCGAACTTTTTGTCCAGAATATGACAACTATGAGAACTTTATTGTGCTGTAAGTTAACGAGGGAAAGGTTCTCCTTATGGTCTGCCCGAGGCACAGAAAACTCTACTAGTATATGATGTTTTCAAGGGGCACTTTGCGGAAAAAGTCAACGAAATTATGGCACTCAACAACATAGTTCATGAGCTAGTCCCAGCCAACATTACAAACTTGTTCCAGCCTCTACTTATATTACGGTAAATATTACTATAAGACGAGAATAAAGAGTTTCTCGAATATAAAATTGATTTATAGATTGCAACGGCCCTTAAACGCTTGGTACATCGACTTTAATTCTATTTTAAGTCTATATAATTATCTGCACCGGGAATTAAAAACTGCAAAATCTTGCAGCTTCGGGAAATTAAATTACCACAATGATATCAGAGTTCAGACTACGCAATATGTAAGTCAACGAAAATAAATCCCATGGAAAAAGCGCTCTTGATGAATCGCTAATGTCAATGAGAGCGGGAACTGGAAAAAAGGACGGTCAAGCGAAACCCTTGCAAATCTTATCGAAGATATTCCCTCTAAGAGTTACTCCCAAGCTCCCACACTGTAATACACTAAATCATGTCGAGTCCTAAATAATGGTGATCAGTGCAGACCAAACAGCAAAGCCAAAAAGGAAAAAAATTGGGGACCCCCAACCCATGTAGGCGTAGCTGAGACACCTCACAGCAAGTATACCAAAGTGGCTCTTGCTTGGTTCAGCTAGGCCTGATGGAGTTCTCTTCCAATTATTCAATTAAAGAATTAAACAGTTGAAGCAGCCCACAAGTGAGCCAGAAAGAAAATTAACTTGTTTTATTCCAGCTGTTGTGAGCCTAATGATCATTGTGAAAGTCTGAAAATAGAGATCAAGTTTCTAGCTGACTCGTTGAAACTAAAAAGAAGTTGAAACTGGGATAAAAAACATTACACGAACGCCCAAAAAGATGAACCAATTGATATGAGCAACGTTTAAAATTGAACAGCGTTTTAACGTTGTATTTAATTTTAGATTGTGAATGAAAAGTTCTTAAAAGTTTTATAGGCCAACGTTGGTTAATTTTAAAGGTTAATTTTTAACGTTGAACTATTTCATGCACAAAAACCCATTTGATGAAGATGATATGCGATATTAAACACTGATCATGTACATTGTACACATCTTTTAACATTTTTACTGCTTAACGACTGCTTTTCTTACTTACTGTATAAAAAATGGATTTAAAAATCATTTTCTGGAATAAAAAACTTTTTAAAAAATGAAAAAAATTCGGATTTTTGATGGTTCTGAGTGCCTTCTAGCGTTCATATTAATGTCTGTTCATAATTATGTCCGTTCATTTAATGTCCGTCCAAATAAGGTCCGATAAGGTAGGATAAAATAAAACAACAATCAATAAACGCTACGGGAAATAAATCCAAGAAATTTAGTGTTGACTTGCAACTCGTTTAAGAATTTTATTATGTTTGGGGACCGGTTTTTGGTACACCGGCCAATGTTTACAAAATCATTATATGATACATAACAATATAATTTTATTTAATATGCGTGAATATGATAATTTATTAAATTGAAAACATTTATATATGTTAAATGTTATTAGAAGTATTACAGGTTATATATTATGAATATCATCATTTCCTAAATTGAAAACCAGATTCGAAAGAGTAAAATTCTAAATCATCCATATCTTACTATATATAAAGCGAGACGATATATATGGATGTGTTTATCCGTACCATTTTACGCAAAAACCGTAAAAGATATACAACTGAAACTTTTTTGATTGGGTCAAATGCTTTAATGACCTTCAAATCAGCATGAAAAAATAAAAAATTGGCCAAGGAATAGGAGTTTTAGAGCCCAAAATTTGGACCACCAAGTGGTGTCAAAAACGCGAATTAAATAGGTAATAATTATTTTAGTCTCTTGAGTCTTGACACCATTTTAGGGTTATACGGGTTCCTGCTAGTTATCTTTAATTCGTCAGTTTTATCTGAGGTCTTTCTCGATCCGATAATGCACAATATAATACCTTCCGGGAATTATTTCCACTAAAAGTCTCGGACACTGAGAGCTGATAATTTGCACATTTTTCCCGCAAGTGAAGCCAAGGTATTATCAGCATAGACTCAGACTGGCTGGCGGCAAGTATTAAAATACAATAATACCTTGGCTGCTTCGGGCCGCTCGTGATAATTCCCGACAACTTGCTGGAGGGAATTTGCGGCCCGAAGCAGCCAAGGTATTATTGTATTATAATATTTTCCGGTTCCGAATTCGAAGGGGTGTAATCCGATACGTGCGCATGATACAATATAGTGTCTAAAAAAAATTGTATCTCAAGACAAGTGGCAGATGTGACGATGCATTGGCTATTGTTTAAACAGATCAAAGGAAAGATGAAAAACTGGAGTTTGGTAGACCTCTGGAGGAGATTTATTGATGATGTACTTGGGGTGTGGTTAGGAACAGTCCGACAGTTCAATCTATTCGTGGAGCAACTGAACAAACTGGCAGAACCATTTGGAATCAGATTTGCTGACCAACAAATCGGTAAAACTGTTAATTTCCTTGACATCACTCTAACCTTGGATACTTACAACCAGATCCAATATAGACTCTACAGAAAGGAGACAGATGCTAGGAATTACTTGCGAACGGATAGCTTTCATCCTCACCATGTATTCGAATCTGTGGCGTTTTCCCAGATGATACGAATCATAGAAAGGAACTCGCAAGACTCAACCTGTGTAGAAGACTTAATGGAGCTGAAAGCAGATTTATCTAAAAGCGGACATAACAGCGTTAAGTTAGAGGAGATCGAGCCGAGAGCAGTTGTCAGAGTACTGGAGAACACCCACGGAGCCAACAGGTCTAAGGAGAGTGAGAACGCTGATAACTTAGTCTTTTCAGTACAACACTCTTCGGACAACATTCAGCTGAAGAAGTTGATTCACGAACTTGGACCGGACATCAGGAGGATATGTGGAGATATACGTGTGATATTTGCCACACGAAAACATCCTTCAATCGGGAAACAGGGTAGTGAAGAATCGACAACTTGGAAATAAGGCTGAATGTCCCCAAAAAACATCACAGAAGTGCTCAGCCCCTGGATGCAAGACTTGCCCGGTATTGTTCGATCTTGACTCTAAGATCATGGTCAACGGCATGGAGCTTAATCTA